AGTGGTAATAAAATTGTAATGTCAGTTTCCTATTGTCAGTATTAACCTTTTTTATGCAATGTTATCTTAATGGGTTAGATAAGTTTTTGATGTTTCATTTTCTGTGGGGTTGTGTGTTTTTCAATTTTATCTTGTATTTTAAGAAAACAATTAAATTATGCATTTTTATTATATTGTAAACTTCTTGCAATTCAGTATTTTACTGCCAGAATCTGCATCTGAAATCAAATCATTATGAAATGTTGTTCTAACATTGAAAATGGGGAAAATAACAACTTATCATGATGTATAGATATGTAATGTTTAGTTCACTGCAATAAAGTAGATTCCAACATGTCTGGAGTTCAATTTCAATTTCAAGTAATATTTATTTCACTTTTGTCATAAAATATAACAATTTGTACAGTACGTGATGATAATTCATAATAATAAAGAGAATATGTGCCAAAGACAAGCCAAACCAGTCACTCGTCGCAAAAATCGATTTTGAGTTATTAATACAGGGTTAAAGAGTAAAATAAGAGCCAGGGGCGGATCCAGAGGTGTCCAAAAGCGGGGGCCGAAAGGGGGGACCGAAATTCGGCCGATCGAGACAACAATGTCCTAGGGGGTCCGGGGGCATGCCCCCGCGAAATTTTTGTGTTATAGACGCTGAAAATAACATTTGAGGCGTTGTGGGCTATCATTTTTTTTTCTTTTTCTTTCTTTTTTCTTTTTTTTAGCTCCCAAAAGGGGGGGGCGGGGCTGGGCCGCCCACCCCCCCTAAATCCGCCCCTGAGAGCTATAAAATGGTAAAAAAATCATTCAAATCCGACATTTCCTTATGAAGTTACAAGCATTTAAGCATACAGCTGTTTAAAGAACAATATATGAGAAATCAGCCTTCAAAGTTTATGATTTCAGGCATTTCTCATGCAGAAACTATCATAAAATCTTTATACTGATGTCAATATATTCCTATACATTTTAGTTTATTTATTTCTGTTGGTTTTTTTCTTAGATATTCAATGACCTTTCAATTCCGAGTGTCATCCATAGAGATCGAATTCTGTCTGTTTTTATACGTTCCTTTCTTAAGGGAAAACATTTATCGATCAGTGATGTAATAGCTGTCTCTTATACACATCTAGATGTGTATAAGAGACAGGCATACAGCTGTTTAAAGAACAATATATGAGAAATCAGCATTCAAAGTTTATGATTTTAAGCATTTCTCATGCAGAAACTATCATCAAATCAGTTTAGTGAAATAAAATAGATTTTTAAAAATTTGACATTCCAGCATGTTTTGGCAATTTTCTCTGAAACACAATTTGCGACGAGTGACTGGTTTGGCTTGTCTTTGCCACATATAAGTACAAGGAAATGATCAATTCGTGAAAAGGAACTCAGAAAGCAAGCTTTTAGTTGCAGAGCCCTACATAAAACAATAAAAACTTTTAAAAATGACATTTAACACACAAAGAACTACTATAAGTTATTTTTCACCAATATGATTAGGCATCAATTATGATTAGAGTTAATGTATTATTTATTTAAGTGGTGGATAAAAGAGTATTACAAAATATACAGTTATTTATATTACATCGAGCCATCTCATTTCCAAAAACCCTCATATACCTCTCATTTAATTTATATTTAAATGAACAAATATTTTTACAGTTTTTCAACTCATCCAATAATTGGTTCCACACCTTTGAACCCCTGTATGAAAAGCATTTTTGTCCGACGTTTGTTCTTTTGAAATCAATGACAAATTTATGTTTATTCCTTGTATTGTGGCTATGATGCGATTCAGAGGTATGGAAAAAATCATCGAATGAGTCTGGTAATTTTCCTCTTTGGTTTTTAAACATAAGAGTTTAAATATTCTTTTCATATAAGTCAAAAATATTTTATGTTTTTGTGGCAATAAAAAGAGGCCTTGAAGGGTGGAGGAAATGAACATTACAAATTATGCGAAGTGCCTTGTTTTGAAGTGTATGAATTCTATTAAGATTAGTTTTGTTTGCCGAGCCCCATATTGATAAACCATAAGTGAGAGTTGGCAGTATGAGTGATTTATAAATGATGAGAAGTACTTGAAAAGGTAGAAAAGCTTTTAAAATGTTCAAAGCACCTGTAATTTTAGATACTTTACTTGCAATTGTATTTATATGGCTTGTGAAGTTTAACTTTTCATCTATGATGACTCCTAAGAACTGCGTATTTTCAACTCTTTCAAGAATATCATCACCAATCCTTAGCACTGATTTGAAGAGTCAAAAATTTATATTTTTCCCACTAAAGATCATGTATTTTGTCTTGTTTGTACAGTAAGCTTATTATTAATAAATCATTCATTAAGGTGTTTAAGTTCAGAATTCATTGTTTCGTATGCATCAGATATAGTTTTATGTTCTAAAAATAGGTTAGTATCATCTGCGAACATGATTAAATGAGCATAATTACATACTGATGGCATATCATTGATAAAGATTAAAAATAGTAAGGGACCGATAATCGATCCCTGAGGAATGCCGTACTTAATATGTCTTGCATCAGATTTACAATTACACACATCAACATATTGTTCCATTTCATATAAATAGGTACGAAACCAGTCGAGTACAATACCCCTAATACCATAATAATGTAACTTATCAATGAGTATTCTATGATCTAAGGAACCAAAAGCCTTGGAGAGGTCCAAGTATACTCCTATCATTAACAACTTGTTGTCAAGTGCTGATGATATTTTATCAAGCGCCTGTAATAATGCGTGAGTAGTGGAATGACCCTCTCTGAAACCGAATTGAGACTGGCTAAGAAGATTATGTTTATTCATGAATGTAATAGTCTGGTCATAGACAATTCTTTAATATATCTTTGATAAGCATGGCAATATGGATATTGGGCGATAATTATTGATGTCATTTTTTTCCCCATTTTTGAACACCGGTATAGTTTTACTTAACTTTAATTGACTGGGAAAAAAACCTGTCGCTAGCGATGTATTAATTATATGAGATATGGGTTTAGCCAGTATATCACTATTACTCTTTATATACTTCGCACCAATACCATCATATCCACAGGATTTATTTAAATTAAGATCATTTAAATATTTCATTACTTCATATTCAGAAACTGGCATAAAAAACATTGAATTTACGACTTTATTACGCATGTTTCCAATACAGGAGGATCTGAATATGCATGTCCATTATTCGCTTTCTCAGCCATTGTTCTGCCAATATTGATAAAATGTGTATTAAATTCTCTGGCTTTTTCTGTAGGACTATTAAACAACTGTGATTTAAGTTTCATTTGAGTTGGGAGAGTAGATAGTCGTTTTCTCCCTAATATTTGGTTGATTGCATTCCATGTTTTTTTCATACTACAGTATTCTTACGTTTTTCAAAATCTTCTTTGTAATAATCTACTTTTCGATTTCTAATTACCGATGTCAATATATTCCTATACCTAGTATATTTTAGTTTATTAATTTCTGTTGGTTTTTTCTTAGATTTAATGTAATGTTTTTCTTTGATATTCAATAACCTTTCAATTCCAAGTGTCATCCATGGAGATCGAATTCTATCTGTATTTATACGTTCCTTTCTTAAAGGAAAACATTTATCGATCAGTGATGTAATAGTTTTGGCAAATCGTTGGTAAGACTCATTTGCATTTTCACTGCACAAAACGTCTTCCCACATATGGTTTTCGAGCTCAGATCTGAAAGATTGTTTTTGTTGTTCAGAACAAGTATGTTTGAGAATAAAATTATTTGAGTTATATGTTTTATATGTTATTGACTTTTCTATACAAAATATTGGACAGTGGTCAGAAATATCGGTAAATAAAATTCCGGTGTCAGTATCTTGGAGATTGCATGAGTTAGTGTATATGTTATCTATTATTGACGCTGTGTCTTCCGTTATTCGTGTCGGCATGTTTACAAGCGGAATGAACGATTCTGGGAGCATAATATCAACATGGGCTTGGACATTTGTATTATCATTGTATGAATTAATATCTAAATTGTAATCACCCATGAGGTAAGTTCGTTTCTTTTCACTATTGCATATTTTCATTAATTCTCTTATTGTTCATTAAAAGTGGAGACGTGCGATTTAGGTGGCCTGTATATAACACCGCATGATCGTGTTCTTTCCACTATTGATTTCAATTATAATGCTTTCAGTGGTGTTAATAATTGTTTTTAGGTCATCCCTCAATCGAAAGGATATATTTGATTTTGCATATAGCGCTACTCCACCCCCTAGCTTATTTTTTCTATTATTGTATATAGCTGTATAATTTGGGAGTTTGTAGAGACTGCTAAGGTGGTTATTAGATAGCCAGGTCTCAGTCAATCCAAGAACAGAAAATTCATGATCAAATCGGCCTAGATAATTGGTTAATATATCAAACTTTCTTATTATACTTCTACAATTTAGAGTAAATATGGATAAACTATTTAAATCTTGTTGGAAATTAATTTGGTTGAAGTCATCAATGCTTAAATACTTGTTAACATTATAATTGGGTATATCAATATCAGTGTCATAATCGTCACTATTTGTAGTTCCTAAAAAAGACATATTTCAGTTACACTTATTAAATAGAGATAAATAATAAAATATAAAGACAAAAATGGTAATGTAAAGTTCAGTTATTAATCAAATAAAACACTTAGATCTAACATCGCTTGATATCGCTCCGCCGATATCGGTAGTTCGGTCGTACATAAGTAAGGTAAAAATAATGCGATCAAAATAGTGCCGTTTAATCCATAATATTCTAAAATTAATAAAATTCACAGTAACTTATCCGTACAGTTTCCAATTTTTTGTTTAACTCCCAATCGAGCTATCTATCTCGATACATTTTCCCGTCAATGAATAGTGACCCATTACGAAACAGTGGATGTTTCCGTCATTGTAGGCTTTCAACATTATATCTTTAAGTTCCCATTTCTTATTTACATCGGCTAAAGGCAGGTCTTCCATAGGAGTGACTGGTTTGACTTTGACTTGGTCTTTGCATTGTTGAAATTATTACCTTAGTATACACATGACTTTCTCTCTTCAATAGTAAGCTGTACTAGTCTTCATTAAACATTGAGAACACACTTTGACATTTTGATATTTTTTTAAACACAAGCTTAATGATAGTTTAGGTGCCTTTTGTTTTCATACTATAGATATAGATTGCATGCTAGTATGCCTATCATTCACCTGAGGAAGTATTGTACATTTCATTTTATTTCATTTCTTTAGGCACAAGCGCCAAGGATATACCAATCAGCTAACTTAAGCACTACCCTACGTGACATGTTAATAAAAAATCTCCAAACTATTCTCTCAGTGCTTTCTACTTTCGCTTTCTCTTAAAATACTTAAAACAAGTGAGTTTAGAACCAGTCTCAAATTTCAACAAAATAGAAATTGCAAATACCAAAAACTACAATTTACTTTACTACAGAAACAGGGACATAGGTTGGTTTCGGCCATGGGAGTGTGAAAAGTTAGATTTCGGAACTAATCCCAGAATGCGGAAGTAAAACCCTTATTCCAATGAAAATTTTTACTCCAATTAGTGGAACTAATTTGCTGCCATGGGTGACGGAGTGCTTTCCCAGCATGCCCAAGAGAAATGCCATTTGCTAAAAATTGTACGCAATACATTGCTGCTGTACTTCTTACATATTATGTTGTATTTACATTATGTTTTGTGCATAGCTTCCTAATAATAATAATGGAAACAAAAAGATAAGTAACAATTATGGTCAATTGTCATATATTTATATATAGCACTTTCCACAGAAAAAAACCCATCTTAATGCGCTGACAATAACAACAGTTACAATAACAATAACTATGCTCAGAGATGTTATAATCGTCCAATCTTGTATAACCATAGCCTTTCAATATAAAGTTGTTTTTTCAGTTTTTTTTTCAGTCATTTCAGTTTATTCATTCGTTCATTCTTTCATTCATTTTTAAATCATTTAATTATTCAATCATTTCATCATTCAATTTCATTTATCCATTCTTACATTTTTTCATAACTCATTCACTAATTCATTTCCTTCAGTCAATTGCATTTTAAAGCCTACTAGTAACATTTTATCTATACACTATGAAGGTATCACAAATACTCAAAATGATCATTAAAAAAAATAGCTTACTTTTGTTATAAATGATAATTTCTATTTTTCTGTTAATTATTTAAAAAAATCTTCCTTTCTTTATAAATGATAATTTCTATTTTTCTGTTAATACGGAGAAATATGCCAAAATCCTTGAGAAAGTAGAGCCAGCTATACGCTGAGCAGTGAAGCTTGGTAAACCTAATTCGATGGATTGGAAATCCAAACCAGACACCAAACTCAAAGGATAACTCGAAGAGTTGTGATATTCCAAGCCTTTCGCACATCACTCTGACTCCAAAAGGAAGTACATTGTAAAAAGAGACAATAAAAAAAGGAAATCTGGAGGGTGCTGTGAGAAGTTAATGGAAAACAATGATTGCTATAAATTTCAGCATATTGTTGCTCAACGTTGAGGCACCGTGCCGTATGTGTGTATTCATGACTACTACCACGTTGAAGGGGATAACCAATCCATACCTAGTTGAGAAGGTATGAATGTCACTCTTTGTCAATGGTATGAGTAACTAATGCATGCAACGGCCATGAGATGTTAGCTGAAGTTTGAATGTTTTTGGCTAAGATTTAAACGACAACAGTGAATGTCCTGAACAAAAAAAAAATTTTTTTTCAGAGAGACATGTACAGCAAAGTCAAAATTTTACAAAAAATTGATCAAGACAGTAGAGGATGTTGATGATCTATATACTGATAAGGTCTAATATAATATAATAGATCGGCCTACATCCAACATTTTCAGCTAAAAAAGTACAGCGTACATATTTTTAAAAATTATTCCATTGAACTTTCTGCTACTGAACAGATATGTGACTGCATAATAACTCAGCACAGAAGCATACAGAAACAGTGGTGGCTGAACCAATGATATGTGATGATGTTATTTTATTGGATAATCCTAATGAACTTTTAATAACTACAAAAACAAACTATTAAACAAATCCACCCTGAAACATGAAGAAAAGGAACCTATTATATGTGGGGGTGTTATTGTGTTCGTGCTGGTAAAGAAGTAGTAAAACTAAACCAATGATTTGCGACGATATGTTTAAAATTTCAGCAAGTCCATACAACTTTAAGAGTTTTATGTAAAACTATTTGTAGAGCAAGAATGCTGTCAATGATGACCAAAGGTTCTTCAATGAGAGTGGGCACTTTGGATAATAAAAATATAATTGTGCTTTAAAGTTGATGTGTTTTTTTTTTAAAGCCATCTAATTTTAAGACATTTTTAGTAAGTATTGTATTTTTAATCTTATTGACTTTATCAGTAAAAGATAAACTATCAATGCTTAAGATAGGATCATGGGTTAATATTCGTTTATTTATTCATTCAGTCATCCATTAATTCGGTCAATATAAGTGTGCACACAAATGTAAATTTTGAGATTTTTTTTTTAGCAATCAATGTCTGACTCAGCATTTTCAGCCAAAAGTGTATTGTATATTTAATCTCTTTGACTTTATCAATAAAATTTCAATTATCAGTGCTTCAGATCATTACTTCTAAATACCTTACTTAATAATAATGGCCTGAAGATATAGAATAAGATAGCCTGGGGTATTTGGTGGTTTTTTTTGTCAGATCTCCTAAAATAACTTATGCAAAACTAAAGAGTATATTTTGAGCAGGTTTATCTATGTATTTTACAATTTTGTTTTTAAAAATGAAGTGGAATGGGTTAGAGAAATGCGACTTTTTTTGTATACATTTTGGTTTTAATGGAAAATAAGACAAGCCTACTGTGCCCTTCTTCCTAAGTTAATGCTTGGGTTTGATTCTTAGTAGGTCGAGTTGGGAAATAATTAATTTTACCGGATAGATTTCCCTCATTATTTATATTTATTTATTTAAAAACAATTAGATAAATTAACAATTATCATGAAATATTGTTGAATAAATATATACTGTAAAGCCGTTTGTTTTTGCTGCCTTTTACTTTCGCGATTTTACAATTTTAAACATTTCGCAGCCTTTTATTTTTGGGATTTTACAATTTCCAGTTGTTTTTTTAACATGGTGGAGGAACCTGATATTATGTTATTTTTTTTGTGCGCCATTAACTTTTGTCATCGTTGTTTTATCACAAAAATTAAGGGCACACAAATATTAAGGGCTTTACAGTAAATAAATGTATTTTTTTCTTTGCACAGACATTATATGGACTTGGGGTGATTGAACAAGGTCTGAGACGAGTTGCTGGTTGGAGTGGCGTTATCATAACTGTTGCCCTTCTCTTGATGTTCACCTCTGCAACAGAATTTATCCGGTAAGTAGAGTATACACTGCTCGGGTTTTTAGGAAGCTCGTGGAAAAATCCAAGTATATGAGGCTTGCCATCCACCAACCAGCGTACTGTCGCTAAATGTACTTAGCTTAAGAATGTGGTAGTATTGTATACTTTAGTACAGAGAAGCCAGAATACTTTTACTCATAACTTTGTCAATTCCAGTAAATGACCTATCATTTTAAATCTTATAATGTGGAGAATATGAATATGTTAAAAAGTAAATTTCAGGTTTTGGTCATTGTTGTTGGTTTTGGCATGGCGAGCCCCATATTGTAGTTTTACAAACACAATTATTACAATGAATAATATGGTGAAGTGTACTACTAGTCTAATACCATTTTAAACAAAAAGTATTAATAAAAGCAGCATTTTGAGACTAGTTGAAATTTTTATCATCCTCACTTACAGGAGAAAAGAAAAGTAGAAATAGAAATGCAAGCCTCATAAAGCGACTATGTAGTAGATCAAAAATAGATCATCAATTCTAAGAAGAAAACGTTATTATGATGAAATGATAAGGTGTAGTTTTTAAATGAAGGTGATATAGAGAATAAATAATAGAGGAGATTGAGGGGGAGAGTGAATAGAACTCTGTATTTTGACATTCCACTGTCAATTTTTAATACAAAAACTTCATTTTCACAGTCGTTCTTATTTTGAAACATTTTGGATTACGCATCATTTGTTTGTCATTTACTATGGATTTCTGCTCGTCCACGGAACTGAGTGAGTATAGAATTATTGCAAGCAAAGTTCATAGAAACCTTCTACAAATCATTTTAATTTACTTTCTCTTTCCTTTCAAAAAGAAAAACTTGATCTTATGTATTTTTTTGAATGTTTTCTTTCATTATGACTTGGCTTTAATAATTTTTTTATATTTAATGACTCCCTCATTTCTTCACTTTCACTTCGCAATTCTGACCGTTTCAAACTCGTTGACAGAAGATTCTACTTCAATCGAATTGTTCCCATGTGGAACCAACTCCCTCATGCTATACGTTAAAATCCACAATATCTGGTTTTAATTGAGCCTTATACATATCTATGAGCTTCTGTTTGTCAGTGAGTTTGACCTGGCCAGCACATGAAACTGGGTCACAAGATGTTTTCGTCCTCTATGTAGAACTGTGTAATTTTGTTTGTTGAGTTATATTTTCACAACTTATCTATTTATTTATTTGCCGTTGGGTCATGTGCATTTATGAGAACCTGTTGACATGTTCTCTCACAGGAATTGTTTTGTGTATCTATATGATTTCAGTGGAAAGTTGACTAAAATAAAAAAAAAACATAAATAAAATAAACATATTCATGATATTGCATGCTTTTACTACAATTGTATTTTCATGTCTCTGTGAGGCAAGAATAAATAATAATTTAAGATCATTTTTGGGACCACGGTTTCTATGGCCTTTAGCAGTTTTGGTCTCTGATTAGAATAATAAAGATAAAAGTTTTTTGTTCATATGGGACCACAGGTCTTTAATTGGAGGTGGTCTTTAATTAGAGCGAGACCTGTAGATGTTTTAAGATTTGTTTAACCAGATCTCCCAGTGTCTTTTTTCAACTTGAAAAAATGAAGATACATGATATCAGGATGCTTGAATTCCTGCAAAATTCTCTGGCCATTTTGATTTGTAAACTAAAAAAAACTTTTAAACGTATGCCTTTAAAATATAACAGTATAGTTTACATAGTATAATATAACAGGGAGCAGTCTCCTTCCAGTTTGATAGAGTATTATGTTGTTGCAACCCATTTGTATGTTATTCCTTAATTGGTATGATAATGATGGTGTGTCTTAAATTCTGTGTTGCCGTGTAATCAATTGGTAAACTTCTGTATCTTTCAACATTAATAAATATATAAGTTAGGCAACTTGTCATGTAATTTTAAGTTAACTCTTTATTCATTTCAGAGGTGTTATCCGTTCCCAGAGTAATACAGATATCCATGACCCCGTTTATTGCGAAAATATCAGTGTTAAAGATTGGAATTTTGATCCAAAGTGTATGACCAGTCCAACGTTTGTCAAGGGATCTGCCGCTGTAAGTTTTAATTTAAGATACCATACAAAAATAAGTATATACATACATACATAGCAATAACGCCCACATATATATATACGTACCATTTAATGCCCTCTCGAGGCACACCATTGTATAATACAGTGTACCTGATGGTTATTTGAATCTATTCATCCATGAAGCCTCTGTGGTCTAATGGTTGTGAGGCTCAACTTGACAGCAAGAGGTCAAAGATTCGAATCCTGTCGGAGGCATTTTATTACACAACATATTTATAGCTGAAAGCTGTTGGTGATAGTGTGTAGTGTATGAAAACCAGTGGTGCATCATACAAAATTGTCATGGTACATCTTACACAATTGACATGGTACATTGCACAAAATTTGAAATTCAATTTATTATTGACATCTTATAAATATTTTTCTTTCATAGAGTTATAAATGGGTTACTGGACCACTTGTTCTTTATTTTATTGAAAGACTTATTCGGTTCATCCGTAGCCACCAGACTGTAACAATTACAAAGGTGAGACATAAACAAAACCATTGTTTAATTTAGAATTTCTCTATTACCACTGGTTCATAACATAGTTGATGAAACACCCACTTAATTTACTAAGATGTTGTGCATCCGTTCCATTCATAATTAGAAATGCTGTGTGTTTAATTAATTTTTTGTATCTATTGCAAGTAATGAACTGCTGGGTGTGTGTGGAAACAATATTTTGGCAACACCAACAACATTTGGGCTACACCATGTTGGCAACACCAAAATATGTGGACAACATTTGGTAACATAACATGTGGGCGATACTTAAGCAAAATGCTGTTTTGGCGACACCAATAATTTGTAGGAAACAACATGTGGGGTTCAGCAGCAACAAGAATATACAGTGTAGCTAACAACATCTGACACATTAAAGTTAGAGCAACAGCATAAATTAAGCAACCAGTTTTGGCCAACATCAACAAAATATGAGCAACAATATTGGACCACGAATATGCAAGATACATAAAATGAAACTTTTAAACAACAATGACAACAACATTGTGTGCAATCCATTATGATATTTAAGAATTATCCTCTATGAAATTTTGCATATTTATAGGTTGTGAGGCATCCCTCTCGTGTCTTTGAGCTACGAATGAAGAAGAAAGGATTCAAAATGCAATCTGGACAGTATATCTTCTTAAAATGCCCTAGCCTCTCACATCTTCAATGGCATCCTTTCACACTTACATCGGTGAGACTATAACATTAACAATGAAAAGAAAGTATAATATTAGAGATAACAGTACACTCATTACAAGCAGATTTTTTCTTTTAAAGACAATACTGAAAAAATTACGTTTGTAGGACTAGGAGCAAAATCTGAACATGGCTTCAATATTCACATTGTAGCTATGTACAGAAATAAATTAGAATTTTGTTGAAATATTTATTTTTTATGTAAACAGCTTCTTACTACATTAGAACCCCTATTAAGGGGACACCCTCGGGACCCAAAAAAGTGTCTTGGGGTTTTTGGCATTGTTTCGTACAATGATGACATAGATTCTTTGTAATTATCTTTTGATTGTCCTTAGAATGAGTTGCAGTTGAATTATTACTAATTTATAACAATAAGTTGCAATGCAAAATTCATTAAGATATGAAATAACGAAAATTTTATTAAAACAACAGAAGTTGTTTCACTACTTTACTGACTACTGTAGTTGTTTTGATACAATAAAAACAATAACTGTCCGCTTAATATGGGTTAAAATGTATTGATTTAACTTGTATGTGGCACACTCAGAAAGTGTCCCTGTTCCCTTAATAGGGGTTGGCTGTAGTGTAAAAAGATATTGCCCTTGTTTCATGGAAAAGTGTCCCCTTAATACGGGTGTCCCCTGAATAGGGGTGTCCTAAATGAAGTGTTGTACTGTACTTTTATGTACTGCATTCTTATTGGTCAGTCCCCAGATGAAGACTTCTTCAGCGTGCATATCCGAACTGCTGGTGATTGGACAACCTCTTTGTCTATTGCTTGTGGTGCCACCAGCAAAGAACCAATTGCAGCAGGGGACCTTCCAAGGTAAGGACCCATCTAACTATATTATGTTATTAGAACGTTATACTAAGTTTAAATGTTCCTACAAAACGTGTGAATTCTATACCAAACCACGCGAACAGTATATTGAATGTTTTGTGTTTGCTGTGAGGCTTTGTAGAACATTGACGTTGATAAGTATTCATCAACTTTCAGCTTTTGTAAATGAATGAAGTTTCTTTCAAACCCCCACCCCCATATATAAATTTGTAATTTGATTTTCTTGCTGGTCCTCCTTATACTTACCTTCCTGTTTCCTATTCTATTTTCTGCCTTTTCTTGCATATCCCCTTTTAATAAAAAAATCCCAGGGTTTTTGCTTATTCTTTTTAGTTCCTTTGTGACCTGGAACTAATGTAATGGTTCACATGTAAAATGTGTGTATGAGATGTGCAACCAAAAGACGTCAGCATATTTGTAAACAAATAGGCTCCGAAACGGTGCATCGCGGCAGGTATACATTTTGCTCGATAGTTGCTGGTGGACATGCAATTGTGCAAGAAATGTTTGTTTTTTTCGGTTAGATGAAAAATTTAAGCTGTAGGCGATAAAACATATACCCCTACCACCAGTTTTGAGTCGTTTTTTAGTCGAAAATTTGATTTGCGTATGCATCGGGTCAAACTTTCCCGACATTTTGTTTCTGTCGCCAGCTGCCTAGAAAAGTTCTTTGTGTTGTTTTGCGACTGTCAGTAAACATTGAGCAAGCTGAGGTAGTTGTGGCATATTGGCCACTTACCTGTGCTATTATTTGAAGGTGTTCTGTGTGTTCGATTGGTGATTTAGTATACTTTAACGGCTATGTCCCGGGTGGTGGAGAACCTTAAAATTATGGACACATAAATTTACAGCATGTGATGGACTGACCGTCTATACACATATACAGCATGTGATGGAGGCATGTATGTGATGGACAATCCCGGGTGGGGGAGAACCTTAAAATTATGGACACATAAATTTACAGCATGTGATGGACTGACCGTCTATACACATATACAGCATGTGATGGAGGCATGTGATAGACGGACGGATGAACCTGAAGGTGGGTGGGGGAGATTTCATCAAAACATTAGTGATGGAGGCATGTGATAGACGAATGGACAAACCTGAGGGTGGGT